TTCAAAATAACAAAATAAAATAAAAGATTAGAAATTATAAGTGATAGTAATATTTGGGATAACTTTATTTCTTTATCATGGGAAATTTTCTACATTTGTATTTTTTAAATAAACGTGTATTTTTTTTAATCAGGAAAATACTATTTTTACTTTGAAGAAGAAAGAGATGTGTGCTGACATTGTAATGCTTCTCTATATATTCCGGAAACACTTAATAGTTCATAAAACATTTCTTTAGGATTAGTACAGATCAGGTAACTTTTAACTCAGTTTCAAGTCGATCAAGATCAGCTTATAAAATTCATACCAATGTCAATGTTATTGGTGCTGCAAATAATTTTAAATTTCCATTTTATGGCTTTCTCAAATTAAGCTGCCTAGCTTTTTTCCCCCTCAAACTATTGCTTTTACTTTGCTTAGTTGCTATGCCTGTATACTGATTTTACTTAAAGTCATCTTCATTTTCCAGGGGTTAAACAAAAAATCAGGAACATCTCATGAATTTGCACAGCATCCTTGTGCAGGGGCCATGCTCATCTTCTCTGTATTGTTCCAATTTTAGTAGATGTGCTGCTGAAGCGAGGACAATTGCCTGGCTTTTTATATGCATATGTGAATATCTTTCATGTCAAGCTGCTGAATTATTAAATAGGGTAGACATATTACTTCACATCAACAGATAGTACCTGGAGAGTTTTCTTAACTTCTACTCTTAATAGTAAATCTACACAGAATTTCACATAAAATATAACATTTTCTCTAAATGAAAATTAACCTAAAAATATCTTTTGCTTATGTTTAAGACAGCATGCTTTTTTATAAGGCAGGGGCAGGGGACAAGACTGCATACTTTTTATCAGTAGAGAAGTTCAGCTTAATAATTCTCTAAGACCTAAAACCAACAGAAAAAAAAACCTAAAAGCAGAAAACAGAATAAAAATGTCAAAGTGATTTTACCACTCCAAACTGCTCTTACAATTATAAAACACTTCTAGAAAGAAAATATTAAAGTTGCCCTTTCTTTTCATTTCTTTTTCAAAGAAAGAACATTCTGTGCAAATCCCTACAGTTCAGTCATAAAGTAACAAGACTGATTAAGATTGATTTGTGGGGCGGGGGTTTGGGAGAGAAGCTACAGGAGACTCAAAAGATTAATCATACCGTGGACTGGAAGTACATGTTCTGATACATTAAAGGCTGGTCAGCTACAATGTCAGCAGCTATACTGACTAGAACTAAGTTCTGATGTAAACTAGCAATCAATAAATCAATTATGTACATTGAGTAAAAATCCAAATTTTGCATTTAAATAAGTTAAACAAGTCTTTCTTTAATTCAAGTAAGACTTTGACAAGTTAAAAGGAGCTTAGAGTAGGAAATAATGCTATGATGCACGGGCGTAAAGGATTTTAATGGGATAGGGAAAATGTCTATGATAATATTTAAATGGTTGGTTGCTCAATCACCCACAGGACTGATGAAAATGTGAAAAGGGTCAAAGACTTGAGTCATTCAAATAGATGATTAGGAGACAAAGAAGGTTGGATGTTAAATGTAGATAAATGGTCTTATTCTCAATAAAAATGAAAACATAATCCAAGTTTCTACAAAGATGAACTACAACACTGATTTATGATATAGTCAAGACACTGGACATATATTCTCATCTTCAAAGAAGTGAGGACAAAATTCCTATTCTAAAGGAAAAGAATAACTTCATAAAGCAGACATAAAACCAGAAACAAAGTAATAGCCTAAATTAATAAACATCAAACATTCACAAGATCAAAGAAACTATGGATGGAATTCACTTGTAAAGATCACACTGATTTTGTTTTATCTCAGAGTGTCAATATTCTGATGCACTCCAGATTGTGTGACACAAGCAGAGTGATTGTGGAGCAAAAGGGGGTTCTTCAATTTGCCAAAGCTCTAGTTTCATGTGTGCTTTCTGGTAAACAAGTATTGAGCCATCTTATTTATAAGACCTATTTCCATATGACTTAAGTATGACTACTCCCAAGCCAGTCTATCTCAGGAGAGCATATCTGCCACCTATAAGTATGTAGAGCCAGAAAAGCATCTCAAGTTCCAACATCAATTCCTCCAAGGTGAGCAGTTTAGAAAAGAAAATATTCACTTTGATGTAAAGTACTACTGAATATATTGGAAATATGTCACTGTAACAAAGTGAAATGAATGTGTAAGTATGGTTTGCAGATATTTAAAAAATATAAGAAAACCTATAATTGCCACCTTTTCTATAAAAAAAAATAACATATTATTAAACATACGTACGCAGTAGCTCTTCAGTCTGATAAAATCTACAGTCATAGGAATGGATCTATCACTATTTCTATTCAGTGCTTTGATGTAATCCAGCAGGTCAGCAAAGAATTTATAACCCCCTTTGAGCACACAAAGGGCTACAATGTGATGGCCTCCCATCTCCTTCATCACATCTCGAGCAAGCCGTTCAGTCCTACAGAAATAAAATCAGAAATTTAATAGAACATTTCATACACTTAAACTCTATAACAAACATCTCTTGAGCATTAAACTTCCACAAACATACCCTTTGCCCCCATTAAGCAAATCTTTGCTTCATAAAGCAAAGAATCTGATAACTTAAAAAACAAGTATAGGCTCAGCACCTGTGGCTCAAGCGGCTAAGGCACCAGCCACATACACCTAAGGTGGCGGGTTCAAAGCCCGGGCCTGCCAAACAACAATGATGGCTGCAACCAAAAAATAGCCAGGCGTTGTGGCAGGCGCCTGTGGTCCCCGCTACTTGGGAGGCTGAGACAGTAGACTCGCTTTAGCCCAGGAGTTGGAGGTTGCTGTGAGCTGTGATGCCACAGCACTTTACCCAGGGGGACAGCTTGAGGCTCTGTCTCAAAAAAAAAAAAAAAAAGCAAGTATACTATATCATCTATCATACATGTTAAAACTGCAAATAAAAACAAGATATCATTTTTACCTATTAGACTGGCAAATTCTGATAAATGTGATTTCTCTGATATCAACATTAGAAGAGATTATGACAAAAAGGGCATTTTCATGCATCTTTGGGAATATAAAATCATGCAGCTTTCTTGGAGGATAATTTGGCAGTACCAAAACATTCAATAAATACCTTCCCCTTGACCCAGAATTTCTACTTAGATAAAGTTGAACAAATGCTTAACTACAAAAATGAATGTTCCTCTCTAACACAGTCTGTAAGAACAAAATAATGGAGAGATCTTGAGTATTATTAATAATGGATTGTTTAGGCTTGGCACCTGTAGTTTAGTGGTTAGGGTGCTGACCACATGCACTGGGGCTGGTGGTTTTGAACCAGCCAGGGCCTGCTAAACAACAATGACAGCAATAACAACAACAAAAAAATAGTCAGGCATTGTGACAGGTGCCTATAGTCCCAGCTACTTGGGAGGCTGAGGCAAGAGAATGACTTAAGCCCAAGAGCTTGGGTTGCTGTGAGCTTTGATGTCACAGCACTCTACCAAGGGTGACATAGTGAGACTCTGTCTAATTAAAAATAAAGAAAGAAAGAATGGACTGGTTAAATCAGTTATGGTATATCTATAAAACAGAATGCTATGCAACTTTTAAAATATGAGCTAGCTTAGGCAGGTGTGGTGGCTCAGACCTGTAATCCTAGCACTATAGGAGGCCCAGGTGGGAGGATCCCGTGAGATCAGGAGTTTGAAGACTAGCCTGAGCAAAGCCAGACTCTGTCTCTGCTAAAAATAGATTAGCTAGGCTTGGTGGTGGCTATCAGTATTTCTAGCTACTCGAGGGGCTGAGGCAGGATCATCACTTGAGCCTAGGAGTTTGAGGTTGCTGTTAGCTAGGCTTGAGGCCACAGCACTTTAGCCTGGGCAACAGAGTGAGACTCTGTCTCAAAATAAATAAATAAATAAAAGATTCCTGAAAAAAAAAAATAAGAGCCTAGCTCTAGATGCACTAATATAAAAAAGTTCAGTAATTTTTTTTGGAGAGAGAGTCTCACTCTGTTGCCCCAGCTAGAGTACAATGGTGTCATCATAGCTCACTGCAACCTCAAAACTCCTGAGGTTAAGTAATCCTCCTGCCTCTGGTCCCAAGTAGCAGGAAGGGACTACAGGTGTGTAACACTACATCTGGCTAATTTTTCTATTTTTTATAGATACAGAGATCTTGCTCTTGCTCAGACTGGTCTCAAACTCCTGACCTCAAACAATTTTTCCACCTTAGCCTCCCAAAATGCTAGGACTATAGGTGCTAAGCCACTACATCAGGCCTACAGTACATTTTAAAACTGTATGCTAGTACATACCCATGTGTTAAGAATCTATTCGTATATATGCACATTTGCTTATAGTATGTGTGCATAGCCAGTGCCTAGGGAAGGATTACATATAGCAGGCTGAAAGAAGTGAAATTTACCCTTCTCATTTATAGCCTCCATAGTTAGAATGTTTTACAACATAAACACACTGATAATTTTTAAATAAAAAAAGAATACTTAGGGTGGTGCCTATGGCTCAGTGAGTAGGGCACCGGCCCCATATACAAAGGCTGACGGGTTCAAACCCAGCCCCAGCCAAACTGCAACAAAAAAAATAGCTGGACGTTGTGGCAGGCACCTGTAGTCCCAAGCTACTCGGGAGGCTGAGGCAAGAGAATTGCCTAAGCCTAGGAGGTGGAGGTTGTTGTGAGCTGTGATGCCACAGCACTCTACCAAGGGCAATAAAGTAAGACTCTGTCTCTAAAAAAAAAAAAAAAAGAAAAGAAAAGAAAGAAAAGAATATTTAGGGTGGCACTCATGGCTCAGTGGGTAAGCCCCATATACCGAGGGTGGCAGGTTTGAACCTGGCCCCAGCCAAATTGCAACAAAAAAATAGCTGGGCATTCTGGTGGGCACCTGTAGTCCCAGCTACTTGGGAGGCTGAGGCAAGAGAATCGCCTAAGCCCAGAAGTTGGAGGTTGCTGTGAGTTATGATGCCACAGCACTCTACTAAGGGCAATAAAGTAGAGGCTCTGTCTTCTTAAAAAAAAAGAATATTTAGACACACAGAGCAAGCATTCATATACTGAAGTAAGGCTTTCCACTATAATTCATTTGAGGGAAAATTTTCAAGCTAGATGTTCAGAATAATCAAAATCTGACCTTGCCCTACCCCAGCCCATTACCCTCTGTGATTAGAGTTCGTTTCTCCAATCTCCCTTCAATGTTTACTTTGTTCTACTCCCTACAGATTTCCATTACACCATGAGTTATACTAGGTAATTAGTAAGGTCACCATCTTTTGTTTTTTGTTTTTTTTAGCAAAAAAGGCTTTAAAAATAGCAAGTTGGCCTAGTTCATATTCAAATTTCAACTACTCAGAACAGTTATAGACACTTATAATTAATATCAGAAAAAATAAAAAGGCTTCAATTTAAGATCTTACTAACCTGTCCATAATTAGTCCATGAGGAATAAACACCTTTTCCAAAACCTCAGCATAATGATTAGGTATGCAAAATAAATCGAGGTCATAACCTGGTTCATCATCACTAATCTGAAAAAGAAATATAGCTGTTTCAACCAGAGCATTA